TTACCACAGCAATAATGAGCTGTTTTAAGGGTGGTTGCTTAAGTGTACTATTATGATGTTGAACACTTCTTCCTTTCCGCTTCTGCCGTTGATACAAAACAGCATGAATGGCCTCTTCGAAAACCTGCAAAGGTGCATAAGTAAGTCTGAGACAAACTGTACAAAAACCCGCCCGAGGTAACTAAGAGCGGAGCATTCAAGATACTTCGATCTCTTTTCCTATTACCAGTCTTCCTTGTGTTTGGGTAATAGGTGTCAACATGCGCTTTCGTGGCCTGTACAACATTTCAAAAATTAAGCTAAAAAGCTAGTTAGAAAAAGTTAAAGTTTCGCTACGGAGCAATAGGAAATAGCAGTTATAATCATCCATAAGATACCACCAAAGGCAGCTTGGCCGCCGCTATCTTAGTTAATGGCAGTTGAACATTGAACTTGGATGTGTTCCTGCAAACCAAACCCTGTTTAACAACTGGAGTGCATTACTCATTACCGTCACGTAAGCTGAAGAGAGGTTGGGCTCATAATGAAGAATCTCAACCAGCAGAAAATTTATACCTAGACAGAGCAGTTAGTGAACTACCTTTATTTAACTCATATATAATGCTGAGGTATTTGCAAAACTCCGGACCGCAGGTGTATGCGCTAAATTTTAGCTGGGCAAGCACAAATCCTTGATCCAAATTCTCGGATGCTAGAGCATGTACACCTGCTCTAGCTTTATACAGGATTCGATCGATCGTTCATCACAAGTGAGTCGTCTAGACGTCTTCAGTTGCGAAATTTTAATTTCCTAGAACTACCCATTAACCCATAACTCACCGACACCTTACAGAAAACCTTTGTTCGAAAATGTTCATAGCGCGGTAATACTTGCCACCATTCTCGAGATGGAGTAGATCGAACAAAATTTCGAATTTCTCCAACATTGACACGATGCTACTAAAAAGGTTCTCAACCAAGTACGAAACGGTTGTAGATGGAGGACTGTGAAAGAACAGAGAACGAATGCACTAACGATAAGCGCACAAGAACGAGAGCCAGAACCTAAGGAAAGAGAGGAAAATAACAAGAAATCGAATGCCTCATATATGGATTTGGTCACCGTACAGGATATAAAGTAACAAAGGACATAAAGAATAGCAAACCATTGTGGGTAGGGTTCATGCTCTAGTCGAATAAAGATGATCTGTAGATCTATGGTTTCCTTTTGAATTGCACCCTCCACTCCTGTTCACAGCGGTCATTCAAGTTCACTTTCTCATTCTCTTTCTCCTGATTGGTGAACACTGACATCAAGAAGATCCTCACCGTCCAGGACTTCCTCTTTTCTCCACCGGTGAGAAATCCATCAGGACGACGTGGCATCCAGTTCCCGACAATATGTCTCAAGCCTAAAGTGAACCAACCTTTGAACACTAATTAATAACCAATCTTTTGCAGTGCTTGTTGTGAATCGTGCAAACAGTACAGGATCGGAGGGTCCGAGGAACATGAAAATGACGAAAACAACACAAAAATACTTTTATATATCAAAGATAACCGTGAGAAAAGCTTATAGAACAGTAGTCACTTGCTGTAAGGGCTCAGTTCTTTGATCAGTAATTAATAATTGATATCCAATTCGTGCGCGTACATATATATATGCATATTTATATATATGCATAGAAATAGTGCAAATAAATGACGTGTTGTTTGCTGGTTGTCTTGCCCACAAGAGTAGCACGAATCTGGTTGTTTGTACTTACGAACAATTTTGCTTGCTTGTAGATCCCGACTATTTCTGGTCTTAACGAAGCACAAAAACCTTTAGAATATTCTTCGATAAGCTGTATGACTTGAATACTTGGACACTTAGATCGTCCGTCTTCACTGGCTGTGCGAGACCTACCATAATCTCCATTTTTCGGAGATTTGCTGAGTCAGATATTGTGGTTCAGTGGAATCCCGAGATCACAATGGCCAAAGTCTGCCCTAGGTCGTCACGACCACAGGCATTCGCAGGACTTGTGGATCAGAGCGAGATTTGCCACCATGCGGCTAATTTGATACCAGGACGGTGGTGGATCTTAGTATTGGCTTAATCTTAGTTAGGCTTCCTGATGGAAATGCCGGATTCTTTCTCAACTAGGAAGACCGAATGAATCCCCGCTATAAATCGCAGCCCGACACCCAGGAACACTTCCCAGCAATAATGAAGCAGTGATCCGTTGGGAAGGGTCACATAACAGGGGTGGGGAGTATTTAACAAATCTCACCAGCCTACGTTACTTTTTATAGCTCTATCATTTGAAGTCCCTACGATGAATCGTGGTTATTCCGAGGTATGAGAGAGAATACAGGAATGTTAACACCTATACAGCCGTAGTGCACTTTTTCTATAAATCTGTTAAGGTCCCAGCTCCTAAAGATCCGGTATCGCTTGTTGGGTGATGAGCAATTTCTGGCAAGCAATTCGTTGTTATCTCATTTTAAATTGCTATGATCTACAGTAGACGTTATATGGAATGAGGCGATAACAGAACCACAAAATAGACGTCCAATCCATCCAACCCCAACACTCTCCAACAATACACTTGAAGACTCCTTAGCCAAACTATTTCTGAGATTTCAAGAAGAACTGACTCGACCAGAATTCTGCGGCATTCATAACGAAGATGAAATCTTCAAGCAATAGGCGAACAACACACGCAATATTCGAAGATATTTATAGACGAATGTGGATGAACGCGAGGAAAACGTGTGGAACTCAACAAGTGCTGGGTTCCTCTCAGCATATGTGATGACGGATAGAGTCACCTTCGAACCGATTTGGTTTTCACACTTTCCAACTTGAATAAGAACGATGTCGCGCATTGTAGCACAGACCACCGCTTGCGAAGTCTCAAACACATTCAATGACCGATCTTCATCGATGAGTGTCTGGAACTAACGGTGGTGTCTCTGCTTCTTTGGAGAGTGCACACTGTTTTCTGAAGACTTGGAATATGTTTGCAAGTTCAAGCGCTTTGCGTTCTTACAAATTCACACATTATTCTCACCTTCAGCATCGTCCACATCGTCGCCAATGTGTTCATCGTTACTTGACAGCCTCGCTCTCTCCCTCTTTCCCTAAGAATTTATAGATAAGATATTCATAGTAAACTGTACACTACGCAGAGTGAGCTCTGAGACCCAATACGTGCATTTCGCACTCATCACTTCACTATTTGAGTTGTGGAAGTAAGTTTTTGATATCGCTCGCCTACGACGCTATTAGTTGAATTGATGGGGAGAGTACGAAAGGCAGAAGAGACTGTTTCAATGAAAAAGAAGGTACGTTTCCAATTTAGGCAAAGAGAGTTCGAGAAATAATCATAGCAACAAAATTTACCAATACCAACTATAAAAGCTCCTCCACACCGAGGTTTTACCGTTTAGATTACAAAAGGTTACTTCATTTTGCGCGAGAGTATGGTACGTTTCACGTACTGCCTAAAAGGTTTGCGCAATCAGTAAGTATCTGAGTTTCAGTGGAACAATACAACTACCTACGAAATCAAAGCAATGTGAACACACTCGCCAAGTTTGCAAAAAAGTAATAGATGTTACCGGAAATCTAAATGCTCCTTAAGCTACCACAAAATTGGGTCAAACGTCTGAAGAACAACTCCATTCCACGGAACGGTGCTAAAATCATCTTATGCAGATGCATATACATACCTGAAAAGATCAGTGGTCACATAACTCTATGGTGAAGGAATGTTCATTAAAACCAGCATGGAGAAGCTCAAGCCATCGGAAACCTACGAAGAACATTTGCAGTAAATTAATAAATAACTGCAACTCGCACATAAGTGAAATCATGTAATAACAGTTCTCATCAAATTCTACTGCACACATGAAAATTACCCGTGCAATCAAAATGTGAATAGAGTGGGAAGCCGGCCATCAGAAATTGTCGACTTCAATGTTTTTCATCAATAAGCAGACACGAGGTTGTTAATATAGAATTTATTAGAACACAATTGCTGACGTTTCGGCGGTTTCGCCTTCTTCAGAGCCCACTATTCTCTTCCAAAGGGAATTACTACGTGGAGTGCCAGCAGAATATTTCCGACTTGTAAAAGAAGTCCTGTCACTAAGACAAAAAATTGTCTTAGCTAGACAAACGATGCTCTTCCTCCGCCGCTGCCTGAAACACCGAGTCGTGCCGAACTTCATCAAACGAAAACGACTACACGATGTGTGCGGCCTACCAAGGGACAGCCAACTAGTACTGGACATCGAAACGCGACTACTACGTGCCTCTCTTCGATACAAGCAGAACACCATGTACGCGCAATTGAAGAAATGCAAGTCGAAGGAATCTTATTGTGTCCAGTATTTGGAGGAATCCCTTTGGAAGAGAATAGTGGGCTCTGAAGAAGGCGAAACCGCCGAAACGTCAGCAATTGTGTTCTAATAAATTCTATATTAACAACCTCGTGTCTGCCTATTGATGAAAAACATTGAATTATCAATTAATGCCGAGGTTAACAGAAAGTCGGTCATGGGAATT